AAGTTGCGGGCCATAACGGGTCCACAGTGAACCTCACCTCATGCGGAAATTGCGGGACATAACGGGTCCACAGTGAACCTCACCTCATGCGGAAGTTGCGGGCCATAACGGGTCCACAGTGAACCTTACCTCATGCAGTTGTTGCGGGCCATAACGGGTCCACAGTGAACCTCACCTCATGCGGAAATTGCGGGCCATAACGGGTCCACAGTGAACCTTACCTCATGCAGTTGTTGCGGGCCATAACGGGTCCACAGTGAACCTCACCTCATGCGGAAATTGCGGGCCATAACGGGTCCACAGTGAACCTTACCTCATGCGGAGGTTGCGGGCCATAACGGGTCCACAGTGAACCTCACCTCATGCGGAAATTGCGGGCCATAACGGGTCCACAGTGAACCTTACCTCATGCGGAGGTTGCGGGCCATAACGGGTCCACAGTGAACCTCACCTCATGCGGAAATTGCGGGCCATAACGGGTCCACAGTGAACCTTACCTCATGCGGAGGTTGCGGGCCGTAACGGGTCCACAGTGAACTTTACCTCATGCGGAAATTGCGGGCCATAACGGGTCCACAGTGAACCTTTACACATATGGGATTTATGGGCCATCATCATTATCATCATCATCATCATCATCATCATCATCATCATCATCATAATAATATAGCGAGAAATCCACATCACAGAGGGACATGATCAATGCACAAATTCAGCATATGTCATATATATCATGAGATATCCATATCTTACCATTTCCGGATCCGCTGTGCAATAGGCGGGTGTTTGGTCGCTGTAAGGAGTTATCTATACGAAACATACACTGAAATCATCTGATAAGAAGCCATATTTGAAATTTGATACCCGACAAAGAACCATTGAGCTAGCGGCGATGATTGATGTGTTTGTAGAAAGGAGTAGTTGATTGAACTGATATTTGTGGTGATGACTGAATTCCTATACTCAATGAAATGTGTATTTATACCTCAATGTCAGATCTAATGTCACCACATTCAAACGTCATGTATAAATACCAGGATTAATGTGTTCCAGAGACCGTGATAGTGTATGTTTCTTCATTAACACTCACATTTATTACGTTCATCAATCAGGCTGGAAAATATGGACATTGCAGTTGCAATATTGAACTGACATTTCGTAATCTGTGTTGACTGTTAGTACAACCGGATACATAGTGTGTACAATCATAGGACTAATTGACGTGTCAAAGTACAACAATGTAACACAATTAATCACACATATTTATGACGGTGAAATGAGTACAATCTGATGACACGACATTAATTAGCTGAAGGGGAACATCCCGTCAAGTATCATGGAACTGTTCTGGGTGAACAATACCTTCCAAATGACGTGCTGGTTTTCTTGGGGAATTAGTCAGCAAAGAGCCAGAGTCACAGGAGACTAATCACAATTTTATTTACAAGAACAATTAACAATTTACAATATCTTAGATAATAACTGAGGGTGCCACAGAGAGTCGGTACAACACTCTGGGCTGTGGGAGAGAGGTCTGCTTAGTAAGAGAGTCAAACCCCTTCTCTGCTTAAAACCTGCCTACAGTATGTATTTAACAAAAATTTAAACAATAAAATGGAATGTGATTGGTTGATACACGATTGGTTGTGTCCTAAGCTAAATGGATGGCTAGACAGAGGGGAATACTAAATCCTGTTTATCCTGTTGGACTGGCACTAATCTTGTTGACATATTTACTGGATGCTTTGAAAGAGATTAGGGTGTCACTATAGATGAGCTTGTGTGGGGGCTAATCCTTAATGCCCTATAGACGAGCTTGTTTGGGGGCTAATCCTTAATGAGTCTTAATTGAAGTAATGTTATTCTAATATACCCCGGTATGTGATGACAGATATACTTAAATAAATATCCTTTGTCTGAGAGATGGGATCTTGATACCTTAGGCTAGCATTTATCTAAAAGCTTCAAATCAATTAAACTATGTAGACGTAACTCTTGTCTTATTGAATAGTATGTCTAGAAGACGCGTTCCCATTACCTTAGGCTAGCAACCATCTAAAAAGCGTTAACTGAAACTACTGATATTTTATATATGCATTTTACCTAATGATAATTATTACTTGCTAAACTATAATTATATGAAATGATGTATAAATATTACACCATGATAACTCATAAAAGCACTTGATGTAGATCTAATTATTATAAGATAACTTAGTATAAATGTTATCCCATGATAACTAACCAAATTAACAACGCGTGTCGGTCTGACGTTGATTAATGAACATTTTGCATACTCGTATATGCAAGAGGCGACGTATGGTTCTCAGTAGGAAGTGACTACTTGGAGACGATGGCTTGCGGTATATACAGTTTTACTTTATACATGTCGATATATACATACAGAAGACACTATGTGCCAAGTCAGCACATAGTGGTAGTGCTTGTTGTCTTGGTGCCCCGGACATTGTATTCCCTGACAGAACATTGACTGATTTAT